GATGGGACTGTGGTGGGGGGAAACAGTTTTCCCCCTGAAGTTATAAAATGGTAAAACCTCAGGGGGAGGTGACCCTTGAGGTTTGGAGCCAATGAGTGCTTCTGCAAAATATAAACATATCACAAGTAGACCGGAAAAGAAGGAAGTTGTAGTGGTTGTTGAAGAAGTAGCCATGTTCTGAGGCCACGAGGAGAAGGGGCAGGAGCCCCTCTGGGGGGCCACAGCCCCCCCAGCCCCCGGCAGGGGGGCTACAGGGACTTGGAACAGTGTAAAACTGGGCTAAGTTCCTGTAGCTAGAAAGCTAAAGAAGTTTTCTCCACCGTGAGTCAGCAGAGACAGAACAGCAGCAGGAGCAGCGTCCAGAGACTGTGGCTGAGAGCCAAGAGATAACGGAGAAGCAGCAGAAACAAACCTGCAGCCAAGGAAGACACAGAGTTGTCTGAAGAGAACGAGAGCCAGCAGCAGAGAGAGCAAGACTAAGCTCTACAGAGACAGAGTTTTGGGGGTAAGAACTGAAACCAAAAACCCCAAACTCCTTTTGTGACCTTTCCTAAGTGGAGAGGATGGACTCCTACTGAATGAAGTCCTAAATGCAGCAGCACTGCAGAGAGGAGCTGAAAAGCTCAGGCGTCCTGGAAAGCTGGACCGGGACGACTAAAGGAATGCAGAGGGGGTGACCTTGGCCCCCCCTCGCCGCTGCTGCCAAGCTCAGCTGGCAGCCTGAGATCAGAGCACAGAGGCTCTGATAGAACTCTTGAGGCAAAGGCCTTCAACTGAAAGCTGCCCGAGATGTTCTGACTCAGGGATGTCCCTCCCTGAGGAAGGGACCTTCATGGGATGTCTTACACCCCATGATATGAGGTGGTGACGCGAGTTTTGTCCCTGCTACGCAGCCCACGGAAGAGAAGACCCTCTTTTGGAGACGACGGGTTGAGGGGCTTGGATACCCCCTCGTGTGTACTGGCAGAGATCCAGTTACAGCTGCTGCATGGAAGAGAGTGAGATAAGCTGCTGCCCTAAAGACACTGCTGCTCTGAGAGTGGAAAGAGATCTTTTCCTTCTTCCCTCCTGGACTTTTATTTGGAGGGGAGAAGAGATTTGATCCATTGTAAATACTTTTATGTCACAGTAGAGATAGCTAAGATTGTATATAATGTATCGTGGTGTTTATTTTGTACAGTCATTGTAATATATTCCCTTCCCCCCATTTTGAGTCTCGTGTGGTGTCTGGAAAATCCATCTCACACTGGGTTGAGATGTGGGAGGGGGGCTTGGACTAGGGAATTGGATTTTTGGGGCTCTCAAACCATGACAGGACACAAAAAGGTGAATCTTGAACTTAGAGTCTTTGGAGAATTGACACTGGTGAAAGAAGTGTCTGTGCCCAGCTGAGAGAGGGAACATCATTATTTCCTTCAGCTGTGTGCCAGCAGGTTCCCCTGGAGCCCCAGGGGCAACTGGAGGGAGCCCAGAGGGGCAGAGAAAGGGCTGCCTGGGGCTGCTCCTCTGCTGCTGAGCTGGGCCAGGCTCCTGGGCTGGAGGGAGCTCCTGGCAAGCAGGCAGGGCTGCAGAGAGACAGCTCTGCTGGTGAGCAGCATCTCTGCACAGCCCAGCAGGGCCGAGGGCACTGCCTGCAGCACTGAGGGCAGAAGCAGGGAAGGGACAGAGAGGTTACAGGCAGCCTGGGGTGTGAGGTGACTGAGCTCTCACTCCTGGACAAATCTTCACAGTATTTGAATGAATAATTCTCTGGCTGCAGGAAAGTTAAACTTCCATTCCTGGAGGGATCTCTTAAAGCTGACACATCCCACAGCTTCTAGGATCTTTCAGCAGGACTCTCACAGTTCCTGTAGTGGAGAGGAGGTGGCCACATGGCAGAGCAGGACAGGACCTGCAGGCAGCAAGGGCAGACAGGAGGAGTGAGAAAGAGGTTAAAGATGTCCTGGGGGAGGTGAGACCTCATCGGGGAGGAATCTTCACAGCCCTTTGTCATGGTAAGGCTCTGGCTCTAGA